TATGTGACTCTACATCTGCTGTAATAAGAGGCATAAATATTGTGTCTTTATCTCTCTCTGTCTCTATCTCTCGGCTTATCTTTGTCTGCCTCCTGCTCTCTCTGTGACTACTTTTCTTTTCTTTTCTCTTCTCTCTTCACCTGTATCTGTATCTCTTCCACTCTTTCTTTCTTGTTCCAGCCCTCCATCTCCTAATTTCTCTCTTTATCTCTGCGTGTTGCAGCAGTCCAGCAAAGCTCTTAGCTGTTTCACTGTTTCTGCTTCCATTTGCCAATCTGTGATCACAGTGGAAAACAGCCTTCACTGCCATCTGATGCTCAGCCCTGACCAAAAAGTAACTACCAGAAACAGTCTTTAAAACTATTTGGCCTTGCTAGTATCTATTAATTTATCATTAAATGAATCATTTTGTTCTCTTTTTTCAATACATACAGCAATTTCTTTAACACAATAAGCCATACTGTATTTTGCAGAGTGGTTATAAGACACAACTTCCTGGGTTTGTACAATAGCAGCCTCACATTTACTGTAACTGAACCTTGTGTGCAAAGGGGACTGCCCAGAAAGATGAGGCCACAAAAGAGTTAATGTTTTCAATTTTAAATCATGTCACAATGTGTCTTATGATATCTTGCTTTTTATTGTTCATTGTTTAGACAGTTGCCCTGAGTAACCCACCTCCGGTATGCATATATCTCTGGAACATCTCAGTAGTCACCAAGTCACTAATAAAAATGCTTCTTTACATCATTTGAGTGCAGCGAGGGCGGACTGTGAAAAAAAAGAAGAAGCTTTTCCACAAATATTTCTATTAAATTAGTCAACCGTTTTATATAATTTTGTACTTCAGCTCTTACTTTTCATTACCTATTTAATGTACTGAATTGCTCTGAATTAATTCTTTATTTTGCAGCATGGTTGCAAATGGTCAAATACAGTTAGAGTAAGTGATCCAGTGAGTGCCTGAACTGCCACTATGATATTTTCTGCCTTAGTTTTGATTTATTTAAGTAGTAAAGTGTCCTCTGTCTGCACAGTCCCACCTGGCCCAAACCCTGCTGAAGGACTGGGACAGTTACTTCCCATATATCCATATAAGGCTGTCTTATATGGATCCTCAATGTAAAGAATTTAAGATATGCTCATTTTTCAGCTATGGTGGAATACTGCAAACTCAATATGGAAAGATTCTGTTTGGTTCCTCAACACCCATTGTCCAGATGCCACTGGTCAAAGCCCTTTGAACAAATGTGTTGTGAGTTTGTCACACCACAGAAAAATGAGTAATTAACTACCCAGCCAAATCTGAATGTTTAAAAAAAAATCACCAAGGATATAAAAATAGGTTTCAAAATCATGAAAAAAAGCAGTGCTCTCTGCTGTGAGACGTTGGCAGCATGTCCACTGAAGGCCCTTAAATGAAGAACAAGCCACTGCGAAGCAACAGATAGTTAGCAGCTAGCTTACTCAGTCGCACACACAGTCTAAGGTAGCACAGCATACATACTCTGTGCCAAATAATGTGTCATCCCACAGTAACAAACTCGTTCAGCAGCTAGCAGCAGCTAACGTTAGCACAAAGCAAACACCCACAGCAGTGAGCAGTAACTGCCTGTGTGCCAGATAGCTGATTCCAGCTGAAAGGTATGTTCATGACGGCTATTTTGCTCGTGTTCATATGATTGTGGTATTTAACAAAGATGTCCATTCATGTATTTATTAGACTGAAAGCGCAAAGAGAGCTTATGGAACGTCGCAAACTCACCGCTAACACAGAGGATGAACGAAACAACACCGATGCTATGTGCTCTAACGTTAGCTTTGACATAGTGGGCGAGGGGTTATGTTACGGATGGCTCCAGTGTGTCATCAAGCCTAGATTTCAGGCCGCCCCAAAAAAATCACAGGCACACAACCTGGAAAAAACAGTGTTTTCTACAGTGTATAATGTGTTTAGAAAGAAATCACTGATTTTGCTTTACCCGGATCTTAAAGGCCATATGAAACTGCATTTTGAGAGTATCTAGCTTCAATATTGTAACATATTCCTGAGTGAAAATTGAAAGGCAGGTTGGATATAAAAAGGAATTTGATTTTATCTTTAAAAAGTGGAACTGCAATCTGGAACCGTCACAGATACCACTCTCCTCAAGTAAATAAATTCTATCCAGCAGCGCGTAACTACGGTAGGAGAACGTAAGTTTTGAAATGGCGAACACCAAAAGACACACCGATGTAGCATGCTGTCGCTAGCTAACTGCTTAATCTTTGCTCTGTGCAGATAAAAGTTGCAGATGGATTGATGGGTGGATGCCATGATATTATTGCTTGAAACTGGTCGGTACTATCTTGCACAAGCACGCCATATTTTGTTTTACAGGGAGAAAACATGATTGGATTTTGATATAAGATGTATTTTTTAATCTTTTTTTGGTATACATTGTTAAATGGGTGCACAATGTGACTGGGGACGTGATCGAAGGGGGTTGAAAAGGCATTTTAAATTTAATCTTTACCCCTTTTCTGAACAGGAAAGCAACAAAGTACTTGGCAACCTACGCTACAACTGTTTCACCAGGATCTCACACGTCTTTGTGTAACTATTGTGGCCAAAAGTGACTGTATCAGGCCTTCGATTTTCTAAACAACTGCAATATAATGTCTCTCATTTTGTTTGAGATTTTTCAAGAAACAGCTGCAACGTTTAAAAAGTGCACCACCATGAGTAACTTGCAGCAGTTTGGTGGAGGTCATGGTGGAAAATAAAAGGCCTAGGTGTGAGCTGACTGAGAAGACAATTTCACGACAAATCAAGTTACGTTGGCAAAAACGTACCTACAAGCACATTGGACTACAGAAATCAAAAACAGATTTGGCTTGACCTTGGCACTTAACATTATCCTAATTTAGACTTGTTATTTTTTTTTGTGGAAAATTATCCAGGAATTAGACAGGACTGTGAGTAAATCTTGGGAAACATTCAAAGATCGTAAATTAAAACAATTTGTTCCTGCTTTTTTTGTCCATGCTCCAGACAATTCTTCTGTTGTGGTAAACACTACCTTAAGATGAGATACAGACAGAGGCCAGATGACATGCTTCATTACTCAAGCTCAAAACCACAAATTCACAATTACATGGTATGAACCTCAGACCACAAGGCCACCAGAACCCAGCATCCCTCTCATCACATACTCTACGGTACTGTGTAGATGTCTTTCAGCTGCCTCTTCAGAATCCTTTTGTCAGTGTTAACAAAATAAATAACAAAAAATGACAGTAATTACTTTCTTTAAAAAATGGGTTGCATATAAATAAACTTCCTGCCTACTTCTGACCTAAAACGAAACCTAACACTTTACCATTTTTCTTGTTTAATCAAGAAAGATTTGTCAGGCAACTCAAGTCTCATCCATCACAAGATAAGGGAGAGGTTCAGCTTCTAATAGGTTCCTATAATGGCATTTTGTCCCCTCTGTCCTCTTCATGCTCTCCTGCCCTCTCCCTCACATCCCCTCCTGTAATCTCTTTCCTTCCCTCGTCCATTATTCTGTATATCTTCCTCACTCCTTCCCCCTAGTTCCTTTTCTCCTTTCCTTCTTTCTCTTTTATCATCCAGTCTTCCTATGTCCTGAGGCCCTCCTTTTCTCTCCTTCACCCTCTTCTCTCTCCTCTTCCTTGCCTTCTGTCCCTCTCTGCTGCCTGCCCTGGTTTCATTGACAGACTGCAGGCGGTAAAGGGGGGAGGAAATGCTGTAGCATTGCACAGCAAACATCCCTAATAGGCTAATCTAATCTCATCTCTTTGCGGTCTATGGGCCTGTGTTTACTTTCAGCCCTGTGTCTGCACGCTGGCTCGGCTTCGCCTCGCTGAATGCAGCTTTGTTCCCGCTGAAAACTCATCATCAGTGTGATCTCTGGAACGGGCGCCAACTCCGTGACCGTCTGCCCATAATGCCTGCAGGTTGGGGATCGTTCTCATCTATGACCAGCGTCTGTGGCTGTTGTTGTTTGGTTTTGATTTTGTTTAATTTCAATGGAAGGAACAAGGTGGCGTGCCAAGTACTGAGGGTGCTACTCCGTGTCTGACCCTGACCACCAATCTCCCTGTGGGGCTGGAGCTGAAATACTACATGTTACACAACAGCCAACAAGGTAGTATCTTTGTTAAACAACCAGCAGGTAAAAAAACCACACACTACAAGTCTGGAACTCCAGGGCGAGTGCAAGTATACCTGACAGTGACTGAATAACCAGTCAAAGTCAAAGGTTCACTGACTATCTACACAGCGAAAGCACTCTTTAAGTAAAGTTCACACAAGGACAAGTGTCTGCAGATATCCCAGAAACGGAGCAAATGTATCAGTGCAGAATGAGCCAATGAGGGACAACAAACATGTTTGCAGAGCACACAACTTAAGTACTTCCAGGAACAGCGGATAGAAAAGGCGAAAAAGATGGAGGATTGGGTTCATTCCTGCAACTACTACTGTCTTACCATCATATTTTTGACTTGAATAAGATTGTCTGACACCAAAGTCAAAGCAATTGTACCACCATGGGAGTGCTGCACTGGGTCAAGACACTGGATGCATGTGAGTGTAAAAAAGCAGGTGCTCTTCAAGGACAAATAGTCACATAAAATGACTGTCCAGGTTACTTAATATCGAAGTCTATGGTATAGGCTTGAAAATCATCCGAGGCACTCTGATTGTAAGTAACAATACTTCATTAATACAAAGGATTTTTTGCCTTAGATGCTTTTTAGACTGCCAACCTATACCCATGGATACTCATTGTTTTTGTCATGCAAATCCTACTGAGGTTGGAGCAGCAGCATGACAGCAAGAATGCAGAAATAAAAATTTCACTACAGTAGGTGAACCATTGGAAAGTACTGCCACATATGTAGTGATGTCAGCTGCAGTGATTAATCTTACTGCTGGTATTGATGACTGTAACACTCCAAGCTTCCACTGCTTCTCAGAATATATTACTCACCCCTGGCAGCAGTGGACATCAGGAACACCTCCAGCAACAGACAGACCCACAGAAGATCCATTTAGGTTTAATTTTCTGGAAGAATTTCAGCCTGTTTGATCTGAAACAAAATCAAAGGGGAAAAAATGAAGTTGCTTGTTGAAGGATAAGGTGTTATATGTATATCTAGGAGACAATGACATTTTTTTTTTCCCGGCTTGAAGGTGCATTTTAATCTTTCAGATGCCATCTCTGAATATAAATCATCAATTTATCAAAACTGCTGTAACATCCACCAACAGGCTCTGATTTATTCCACAAAATAAACCAGCCACATCAGTATTTCACCATCTGACGGGCCGTTTTTGATTAATTGCAGCCAAAATAGCTGCTAGCGCAAAGGAATTAAGACGTAATTTACTACCAATTGGCTGACAGCTGGTGAGGATCTGTGAAAACCTGACCTCAGATTTCACACGAGGAATAACTTGATAGAAAACAATGAAGTTCTTCCTTAATAAAATAAAGTATGAATGTAAAGGTCTCTAGTTTCTCTGAATCTGAGAGACCCTTTAATTCCTTTGCAGATGTTTAAAAGCCTACAAGGCAGACGTTAGATAGATACATGCACTCACTTCCAAAATGTTCTTCTATTCAGTGTACTCTGTCTGCTTTACCATATTTGGCTCTACAAAAGTCAGAATAAAGTAAGGTGTTCATCACCGGCTGGACACCGCGATAAATCTGTCCTAATGCTATCGCACGGGAGCAGAGATTTTCCGGGAGTCAGACTATTTTCCTCGCAGATTTATTCCGTCCACCTGTCCATATGTCTCTCCTTACAGTGGTTTTAATCTTTCCGCCACATAAATTCTGCCCTGAACCCTCTGAGATCTTATTTCAATACTTCACATGCTGTATCTTTGATCAGCATCTGTCAAACCTCAGTGTCTCACCAGAAACTTCTTAAAAGTGCATTGTAATTGATTTGATTTGTGGTGAGCGAGAGTAGATTTTCAACCTTCAAAAGTCACATTTGTTATATGAGTGAGTGTCTTACTGAGAGAACAATCTTTATTCCCTAAAGTTACGATAAATATCCTACAAAGCAGCTGGACGTGGCTATAAATTTAAGGAGTAAAAGTTTCTTTATGGAGGAGGACAGCATCCAAACTGTCATTGTTTGCATTATGATGATCCCAAACTGGATGTCTGATGAATTTATGTTTATCACCTGTTTTAAAATCAATCATTTACATGCCTATTAAGTAAAAAAAACTAAATTATAAACCCTGTTTTCTTGCTTTCATGCAGTATGACACGTTCACCCTCCCATAATAAACAATATCTAACTATGTGAATGTGTTGTCTATAGTTGTAACCACTTTATACATTTGGTTTAAGTTAACCTTGCAAGAGCTGAAACATTCTATAACTGTTTCACACAGATGTGGCAAAACTTAACTTACAATTTCTGTACATCTATGTCGTTGAAAATTGTATAAGAACATGACATAAATTTGACTCTAAATCAAACAATCTAAACTTAATCAGGGCAAAACAAACTCAGTACACTGATAGGAAAAGAAACAATGAAAAGGGATAAAGGAGGTAATGCAAGTTCACTTTAAACTCACTCTAAGTGTGTCAGACAAGCATTAAGACCCTGTGGATGCATTATATAAATAATACACTGACTTTAGGGTTATTAATAAAGTTGGACTTACTGTAAAAATTGATGAGATATCCACAGTCTGTTACCCTCTGATGACCTGCAGGTATACCATGCCTTTCTCCCAGAAAGAGTCCTTAAATGATTTTAAGATTACGATAACTTAATCCGTGATTCAAGCAGAGAATAATTCACAAACGCAAAGGGACGCGTCTGTCACCGGGACTCCAACTCGCTGTGAAGACTTTACCAAAGTGCACAAAGTCTTCTGTGACTAAACGAGCAAAAAATATGAGAGTAAAAGCATATAAAAAATCTCCAATGCACAGTCTAAGGTCAAACACGTGAGGCTGTAGTATTTCTGAATGACAGTCCGCATGTAAAACGCTCGAGGCAGACCGCTCACACAACCGGGAGAAGAAAGGCAGTAAAAAAGAGGAGAAACTTTTATCTACATTTTCCGCCTGTTTGCGTTTATAGTCACACACTTATCTGCAGAATGAAAACCTGAGTGCTGTATCCACATTGCCTCCAGCAGCGGCACAGGCACACCGTCCAGATTTCAGCCGCAGGCGAGAAAACAAACTGCGTCGACTGACTGTCCGAGTACGGAACTTTCAGCCAATCAGAGGGCAGGCCAATCAGAGAGCGGGCCAATCAGGGAGCAGGAACGTGCGGGACAAATTTGGAGCGGTTTGGGGGAAACGGAGGGGACATTAATTTCATTTAATTTATATCATTAATTATTAACAGATATGGTGCACAAAGTGGGATTTCCATTCTTAATTAGCTGCTATATTATTATCATTATTATTATTAGTAGTAGTAGTCGTAGAAGAAGAAGAAGAGGAAGAAGAAGTGGTAGTAGTAATAGTAAATAAGCAACTATATATTTGTTTTATTTATATGTAAGACTTTTTAGAAGAGCGATTGGTCTCTCTGTTTTCTATTGTATTGTATTTTATTCTATTGTATTCATGAAGTCCTCTGCATGTACAGTATTTGCACTGCTTTGCTCTGTGGTCCCTGAGAACTCACTCCAAGTCACATTACGGACCAACGCCGCCACCTCATGGCACTTGGACGTTATTACAGCAATATGCTTAAAGAAGATGAAGCTGGCACATTGGCTGAATCCAAATGTCCACCCTCTGAACTTGCAAACTCTAAGCAACTGATGGACAGCCCTCAATACTGTTTTACTCGATGCTGTGGAAACGTTCAACTATTGCTGCTGTCATATTTATGTCATATAAGTTGATAATTAGTGCTCACTCATCCATCCCTGCGGATAACAATCCCAAAAATAACCTTTCTTGTGACTGAACTAAAATGTAGTAATACATCTCTATATCACAGGCTAAATATTCAAAACCAGAAATGTTTATAACCAAGGACAGGACTATAGGCCTACGTCAATAAATTTGGGTATTACTTACATAAGAAGACCTTATTTTGTTGTTTTTGGTCAACTTTTTTTTAACCTATTAAATTAGAAAAGTCAGAAAAGTCTGCTGAAGTCTGCACCCCAAGCAGACTCTCTGGAAGTCTGTAGAAACTCTACTTGAGGCCCTTTGTGGACTGGTTGAATTGTGGATTTGGAGCCCTCAGCACTTCCAGACTTCCTGGGAATGTGCCTGCAAAGTCTGTGAGTCTGCAAGTGCAGTGAAGTCCAGACATTTGGATTAAGCCATTGTATGTGACACACATAACAGCAGAAATGGTATATGTAGATGTCCTGCAGCATTAATGGCCAGGGAAAGTCAGCTGATAAATATATGTTTAGGATTAGTGTCTCTCTTTCTGTTTCAGCTGATAAATTACACATGCACAAAAAGAAAAAGAGCAGTGTGGGGTTATCAGTGATTGACAGTGGTTGGCAAGTTGATCTCTGATCTGTCCTGTTACAAACAAGTCCCTCAGGAATATGTTTTGGTTGTCCAGAAGTCCTGTAATTATGCAGAGCAATGAATTGTCGGTAGATGGTAACTAAGTACATTTACTCAAGTACTGTACTTATCAATTTGGAGATACTAGAACTTTACTTGAATATTTTTGTTTTCTGCTACTTTATACTTCTACTTCACTACAATTCAGGGAGCAATATTGTATGTTTTACTCCATTACATTAATCAGATTTTGTTGATTACTAATCATCATACTTCAGATGACACTGCAGATTCAGATTAATAATACAAAATATGATCAGTAAATAATAATGTATTATTAGAGGCTGAGTTCTCTTACTGAAATTCACAGGCTACAGTGGTATATATAGTAATAAATAAGCCTTCCTTTTACCAGCTGCATCAAAGGTATGCACATATTAATGGAGCAATAATTATAATTCAGTAATATAATAACCATCACTCTGAAATGGGCCATTCTGCCTAATGAGTACTTCCATCTTCTGTGTTTTAAGTGTATTTTGATACAAAATCGTTTGGACTTTTACTTTGGTAAAATGGGGACTCCAGGACTTTTACTTTTAAAAGAGTATTTTTACACTGAGGTATTGATGCTTTTACTTACGTAGATGATCTGAGTACTTCTTCCATCACTGTGCATTGTCCTGCAGACTTTGTTTTCAACCCTTTTTGAGCTTCTGTCTCCTTCTCAGCAGAGCTTCAGTCTCTCTCCCCATCTGAAAAGTATTTCCCAGATGTCAACCCATGCTCTGAAATCATAAATCTACTTTTTACCTTTGTTTTGGACTAATATACTGTACCTCAGTGTACTATGATAGCTTGATACAAACTTTGATAAACATTCTCAGTGGCACTTTGGATGATCTTAAATCCTTGTATGCCATACTCATTCAATAACAGTAACAATAATAATCTTTTCAAGTCTGTAGTATAATCTTATCAAAACATTATAACAACATTATAAACCTTTTGTTTTAATATGGAAACAATGTTTACCTTGATCATTCTATTCCCTTTCCACCCTGTAGAAGAGTAGTGCCATCTCCTGGTGATAAGAGGAACAGCACACTAGCATCGCCGTCCTGCGGAGGTGGATAAGTCACGGGAAAAATTAACATCCTGTCATTAGTCCCAGCTCATTTATAAGATAATATTTTTTTCCTCCTATACCGGAAGCATAGTTCTTGCTTGGTACATAGGGAAACAAAGTCTTGCACAACTGAAACAGGACTAATTTGTTGTCCTGAAATCAATCTGATTATGTTTAATATGCTCACAGTGACAAACCCACAGAAAATTATTAGGCTACATAACTCCTGTTCTGATGGGTCAGAGCTTCTAGAGTTATTCTGTCCCCAGGAGGCCAATAAATAGGCAACAACTACTTCGGACAGATGCAAAATCATACAGATAACGTTACACTATTTCACATTTTCCACACAGTTTAACACGAGTTAAAATCCCAGTTAGCACATACCTATTCAACTAAACTCCTTTGTATATCTGACAATCGGGTAAAGTTGGCAATGTTAGCCAACTTTTACCTTGTTGTCCTGCTGCTTTTATGTTAAATCCTCTCAGGTGATGCTTGAGCTCCTGAAAGGCTGAACAGGTACCATCTCTTCCGAATAACACACTGAAGCGGAAAAGCTATTTTCTGACAAGCTAGCAGTTAGCGTTAGCGTTAGCCACTTTTTCATAGAAGAACCACTTCAAGTTAAATGTGATTAATTTTAGGAGTGGTTTGGTTTATAACAATATCCCATGGCTGGTGCTCAAGTTTTTACTACAGAAAGTAATTTTCGCCATTACTAACGTTTGCCAACTGCGAATAAGTGACGTCAAGAGTCAAAAAACTTTGAGCATGCGCACTGTGTTTTTTTCTCAATGGCACTTGACATTGAGAGCATGATGCTGTCAAATAGTCTTTCCCAGCTGCCTACATTGTATGACAATAATAATACTAACAGCAACAGATGATTATTTAATGAAGCCTGATGATTTCCCAAGAATAATACTAATTTTTAAGTCACTGGTGTTATTAAGTGAGGGGTAATAACACCAGCTGAGCCCATGCAAAAACATCCAAAACCACAGGTGTCAATTTTGCCCAGGTAACTGCAGGTATGGGAAAGTCTTGTAATATTCAGTAGATCATTCAGTGTTGGTCAGTCTGTCTAAATTTAGTGGTGTAGGTAGGCTAGCTTACATTTAGCCGTTTAGCTTTTTTTTTTTTTTTTTTTTTTTTTTTTTAATGACCGTTTAGATTTTGTTCAAATCATATGTATATGCATTTTCATACCAAGAACAAAGTTCTATAAAATATTTTGTCTGAATTTTGAGAAGTGCATCATTTTTGCCACTGGGAATATTTTTTTATCACACCCGCTAAGAAAGCATGTTAGGTAGGAAGCCGATTTCATGACTCAGTATCTTCATACCCATAACTCTATGAGCCATGAAATTTGGTAGGGACACAGACACAGTGGTTTACAACAGATCCAAATGCTTGAAAGGCACTAGTGGATGTCCTACTTTTAATTACTGGCCCTTGAACAAAAAGTAAGTAAGTAGCCTATATAGAAAGTTTTATGGGAGTTGCATTGGTAAGCAATAGCTTTGGCCCATATTTACTTCCTGTCAGTTGATGTCATTCACACTGCAAACCATAAATCTAACAAGATATAAGAGTTATTATACAACCGACTACCCATGCATAGATGTATATTGAGCAATGAGGACAGAAACTGAAATAATAACTCAGAATAAACTTAACGTTTAACTAAAAAGGTCATAGTGCTGTCAGGTGAGGTGAAGATTGAACACAGCTAAAACAGGTGAACACATACTTTAACAAAGACAAAATATGATACAAAAGGTCATTATTCCTCAGTTCATTGTACATTCACTTATTTGCAAAAAAAAAAATCAAAACCCACTTCAGTGTCTCCGGTGGTCCTCCTGTCTGGGTTAAATAGTCTTCTCCTCCAAATTGTAGCTTGACTGTTGGACAGAGCATGTACAGTTGACACCCAACACATGTCATCTGATGGAAGGCACAAATATATCCAATAACATCATCTTAATCAGGTGTCTCCAACCCTGCTCCTGGAAAACAACCTTAATCAATCACACCTGATGCTAATAATCAGATGTACTAGAGAGGTGTCTTTTTTTCAGCACTCAATATAAGCATGGGCAGTTGATTGGGCATAATTAGTGACTTATCTTGTTCAATCTAAAGATGAGGACAATCTGGAAGGAACTTTAAACTTTACACACAGAATGCCCACACACATTTTAACACAGATTTTTGCCATTTTGGCAACTCAAAATGTCAGTAAATCGCAATCTTGGCTTGCCATATTTAGGATTCTGATGACGTTAGAGCCCTTGAAATTGGGTACAACATTGATTAAAAACAATATCTTTTAGCAGGAATTATGGAAACGTCCATATCTATGTACTCTGGGACAGTGGTGTAGAGGTAGTTGATGATGTTACTGAGGAGGAAGTTGGTACTCTTCTTTATATTCTGATGACTATTTGGCTGACAGTTGATTGTACCCTGTATACCTGCATATACCCTCAACTACATCACTGCTTCAGGGGGACTGCTTGGCACCTCCATATCAACCATTTT